AAGTATCTCACGAGAAACCTGTCCTGTGCCGTGCTCAAAAGCCACTCCTACCCCGTCTCAGGGATAAAGAGTTTACTTGGAGGCGAATGCTTCGTCGTCGTGAGCTGATCAGTCCCTGTATCGTCGACTTTTGTAAAGCGAAGTTATCGGAGTGAAAACTGAATCTGGATGCACTAAACGAATAGTAAAAAGGGCCTTTAATCAGCGCTGAGACTAATTCTGAAGTGTTTGCAGCAGTCCAAGACTGGAATCCTCTTGCTACGTTCGGCCAGGAGATACGACACAACGGAAAGGTGCTTACTACTCGGCAATGATCGCCATTCCTTCAGGTGAATTCTCTACCCATTCGAGTAAACACAGGGACAGTAAAAGCCGTAATTTGTGGATTCAGAAGGTGAGTACGACCGTTGCGACTGTAGTCTGAAAATGCCCAATGTAAAGGAATTCGCATCCGTATCCAAACAGTAGCGGCGCTTTCGCTTCAAATGGCGTGCTCTGAGCGATCTAGAGAGCGGACACGCGACGTGTAAAATTTTGGGTAGACACACTCTGAAATTTTTTCTCTATCCTACTTTAATAAAACCTTTCCGTTATGCGGGGAGCTCAGGGAACGGCGAGAATGATCTCAAAAACGAAATATCTCCTTTCCATCGCGGGAGCACTTACGACTCCCTTTCCAATCTCCCGAAATTCGATATCCCACCCTCCTAAGGAATTTTGCGGGTGATCAGGGCCTGCACGGAAAAACAAGTATCAAAAAAGCGACTGTGCCCGCCGACGGTGTTCCCATCCAGAGCCGAATACGACATTCAGTGGTCCCCGACAAGCTACATTCTAGCTAAGGCACATCATTAGTTGAGGATTTTGGTCGTGTCCGTACGATTCCTCTCCCCTATAAGGTGGCTTGATACGACCCCCCCTAGCTCCTCCTCATCGAGTTTTCTTGCGGGGGCAGGGGGGTGGGAGGTGTGAAATATGTAAAACGGGAAAAACCACGATGATACGACACCCCTCCCCTCCCGCCCCATCCTCCCGACCAATTTCCTGGATTTTTCCA